ATAGCACAAGGGTGCCCCCCCCAGGTGGCATTTGGAGGCGTCGCAAAACAACTAGCATTACACAATGATGTGTGGACAGTTCAGTATAAACCCATCAATAATGTACTTTTATTGCATTAACAACAGGCTGCAGATTATACCCCCCACCGCCAAAAAACAACAACCCTGCCTGGAGGGGCCCTGGCAAAGCAGTAGCATCCTAGATAGCTCCATATGGCACACTCAGGCAGAAGCATCCAATAATGTTGCTTCAACAGCAAGCAAAACCAGACTGAGCCTTAAATATAGTTGCAGCACCATCTGGGTGGCTCCACCCATCACCGCCATCCCATAAGCCGAGCCTCTTTGTTTGGAGGGCCTGAGCTGCTGTCTCAGTCATTGGCTGCAACATTAGCATGATGGCACTGGGACTTCTGAGCTGGAGTCCCCAGGGTTGAAGGACAGCTACTCAACTTTCTCCGGTCGGAGAGGTTCAAAAGAAAACTTTTAGGAGAAATCTCCTTTTGCCCTCTGATTCCTGGCCTGGCCACACTGTGTACGGGTGTGGGTGAAACTTGCCGGGCCATGCAAGTAAGAAACTGCCCTCTTACAAGGCTTGTTTTGCTGCAGCTCTAGGGTGGGCTTGTGGCCCGTTTACACAGTCAGAACAGAAACAAGGCTTTCCCCAGAACTTTACCACATTAAGCTTTAGGTTGTAAGGAAGAGAATGCAGGTTGGGCTGTCTTGCGTACGCACACACTTTCCCTGCACATAAACGAACAGCATACAAGGAGAAGGTGAGGCTGACCCCTTCACCCTGACATGCTAAATTTCTGTTTGCAGGGAGAGCTACCTCAACAACAGGGAAACTTGCAAACACACTCCTGTCACTCTGAAGCCTGGATGTGGGCGATATGTAAGAAAAATCTTACTCCCTGACTACTTGTATAAACTGAGGGCTCTTCTGGGCATAACTTGTTTTGTTTGTGATAGAAATGAAAAGCTATGCTAGGCACAAGCCAGCAATCCCATGGCAATGTCTCCACAGCACTGGTGAGAGCATGAGAACCTCAGGAAGCCTCCCTTCTTGGGACGGGTCTAAATTGCAGGGGGTTGCGCTGCATTGGGGGAGGGAGAGTGAATTCTGCTCCTGCACACGACAAACTGCTCTTTGTCTCTTTTGTACTTCACCCTGTTGTGAACTTGCTATCTGATTTTTCTGAATTGGCCTATGATGATGGGTTTTGCCTTAAAATATTGACTTCTTATAATACACTATTTGATAAATGAATGTTAATGTTCCTTTTAACAGCTGCCGACATTCAACTGAATTGGCAATTCACTTGCAGGAGTGGGGTTTAGTATAAGCGCTTGGCAGTGTGTGTGTGTGTGTGTGTGTGTGTGTGTGTGTGCGCACACACACACACACACACACACACACACTTTTACTCAGCACTTTTCAATGTCTAAAATATTATTGGAATGGGAGACAAAGGATGAGCAAGTAAAATCCTCAGTGACACGTTGGGCAATAGATATTGGGCATAATGTAGAGATGAAAGCATGGGAACGATTGTGGAATATGGATATAAAACTTACAGCCTGTTATGGTCTAAGAGAAAATTATATGAAAATGATATATTGATGGTATCTAACACTGAGTAAATTGGCAAAAATGTATAAATCTAAATCAAATAAGTGTTGGAAATGTAAAAAAAAAAAAGATGGTTCTTTTCATCATATGTGGTGGTCTTGTAATAGGGTTAAAGCTTACTGGGAAATGATATATAATGAATTGAAAAGGGTGTGTATGTGTAAAAACTACTGTTTACAGTTGGAATTGAGGGTGTAATGAGAGATCTGGTTTTTATTTCTAATTAGCTTAAACTGGGAGGCGGCAGCCTGCCCAGGGTGTTCTAGACTCCAAGAGCTCTCCAGCTCATAGTGGGGGCGGGGCGTATATTATTCCCTGTTTTCGCTCTGCTTGCAAACAGGGAAAATATTGCCAAGACACCATTAAGTCTCCAAGGTTATGTCAACCAAAATCTTTTGTGTTGCTCTTGGAATTTCTCACTTGTTTGGGGAAGTGGAGACTGTAACAACACAGTCTCTGCTGATATTCCTTCTCTCCTTCTCCCCGTCTCATGTAAGAAAAAGAGCTTATTTATTTTGGGGGCTGCCAGGAAAAGGGGTATCTCAAAGGCATGCTATGATGTCTTCTGTTGTTGATTTGTGTTCCTCAGCACAGCAGGGGGGCCCTGCCATTAAGTCGATGGTTGAGACGGGGATTCCTTGAGAGGTAGAAAAAGAGGGAGCAGGGCCAAGTTCATAGCACTTGAGACACACTGCACCATGTGACAAGTGAGGATTCAATTCTGCTGCTTCCCCACTCTTTTCTGCTCACAAACATGGGCTGAGTGGAGAATTGAGGAGCAGATTTCAAATTCCCCTGCCAGATTATGGATAATTCATCACTTTTTGCTGGGGCTCCTAGGCATTCCTCTCCACATATCTGTGTAATATTCGACTTGGAAAATAGAGCTGCAAGTCAGGGACACAGAGCTATGCCAGCAGTCTTTGGAGAAGCCTTCTGGTTGTTCAATCACCTGAGCTTGCAGCCCCAAGCGCCCATCTCCTCAGCACTATGATACTTCCGTGGCTGCTTCTTAGACCTTCCTGGAATTCTTGCTCCTCCCAAATGTCCAAGGGATATGAGGTCTCTTGGGATCACCAGGAGATTCCACAAACATTGCGATCACTGAAAGAAGATTCCTTGTTCACCATAACAAAGCATGGTTAGGAAGGAGCAAGTAATGGTACAGGTATGTCCTAGTAAGCAGGAGGAGGAATGGCAAAAGAGGACACCTCTCAGCAAGACATCAGAATCAATGGCTGGAGAGAACTCTTTAATTTTGGATTCAACAGTCAAATATGATTTTCCTCGAAAAGGGGGGAAACCATTAGGTTAAGCATGGTGTCATGTAGACAGTCCCCTAAACTTGCACATGTAAAGGCCACAGGCAAATAACTCTTAATAAAATATCTTATCGCTTAGAGGGCGAGTGGTACTGATGAGCAGGCTTTGAAAAGGGTTATCTCGAGGAAGAAGCCACTCTGGAGTTCAGAAGCTGGACAGCTCCCTTCTTAGGAAATCTGCCGCAGTTTTAGATTTGAAATTTTGCTCTCAAATGTGCTTCCCAGGTGCTGAATATTTGTTCACTCGGTCACTTCAGTTTAGGCTAGTTCTTTGATTGTTATTGATTTCTGTTATCCCCTGGGGAGGAAGTTGGGTGGTGCCTGCTGCAGTGTCTTGGAAGAACGGAAAATATTATCAAACCCTACATTTATGAAATCATTGCATTTTTATAAGCCGCCTTTGTTGGAAGGGGCCCAAGGCAATTTGCAGTTTTGAATGGTGAAAGCAATCAGTGAAAAATATAGAACAGAGGGCAAACCATGGCTCCTTCATGAGCTAATGGCCTGTGTTTCTTCCTTCCAGGTATGTGGGTATGGGTGTACACACACACACACACACACACACACACACACACACACCTTCCTTAAGTGGCTCCAGGGGAGATTAGGGAAGTGACTGTCCCAACAGTTTTCTCAGCCTGATCCTACTCCCTGCCCGGGGTTCCTTCTTTTCGTTAAAAGCTAATGTGATATTACCACTAAAGTGAGTATTTTGCAAGCAGTCAGTCAATCTGGCTTCTCTTCCACGAGAAAGAGGTTGTTTAGGGGGCATTTTCGCAGTTAAGCTTCCCACTGACGAAAAACAAGTGGAATTATTTTTAGCTGCATATTTTAGCACTAGCTAAGGGCCTGTCGGTGTGACAGGCCAGGAGTGTAATTGAACCTCCCTCCTGACGGTCCTGCATGCCTTTCCTAGAGCCACCACAACATCTTGTGGCAATTAATTGTGTAAGTTAATTATTTGTTGTGCGAATAAGTGTTTTCATCTTGTTTGCCCCGAGCCTTTGTTCCTGGTTCTAACTTGTCCTTCATTTTGTATGCAGGCAAAGCTTCCTTTCTAAAATTAATAGGCAGTCTTGCCAGAATAAGTATGACAGTACAAAGCCCTGGACATTTCTCCTCAGACTTGGTTTATTTTTCTCTCAAGTGTCCTGGAAAAAGTTCTCTGGCTGAAAGAGAATAAGAGTAAGGATTAGCCTGTGCCCTTTCAGAAAAACGATGAGCTTCTCCGTGTAGGTTTTTCTAGATTTGGACACCTCGAATCATTCCCTAAAGGCACAGGGGGGCTAGAATTTTCATCTCCCAATCTGAAAGAGTAGCTTTAATGCTGCTTTGAAGTTGGAAAAGTGGCCTAGAAATAATTTAAATTCATAGCTAAATCCTTTGGGGGAAAATTCAATAAAAGCAGCTCGTCCTGTCACAACATCAGCCTCTGCCACAGAGCTTTCCTATTTAGTCAACCCAAAAGCTGTATGCATAAACAGGTGGGGACTTGCATAAAGTTCACAAATGGAGAGGGGAGGGTGTGCGTGTCTCTGTGTGCATGTGATAACTTCTCTTTGTCCCTTCCCCTTTCGCTCTTTCACATATGTATTCATGCTGCTCCTATCCATATGCGCCCTTCTCTCGCACACCATTCAGCGTAGCTCTCATAAACAAGTAGTATTTTGCACCGTCTGCTTACCAACACTTCGTTCTTGTTGCCTACACTCTTTTTCTGCCGAAACCCTTCCCACAAACAGCGCAGTGCCCCATCTGTCTCTAGACTCTGTGGGCTGACCAAGTAAACACATGAGTCGTGCGAATGTTCATAAACATTCCGTGACACTTCAGCCGCTGAGCCAATGACTAAGGCTGGGGACTCATTTCAAGAACAGAAGCCAATGTCCTTACAGCCAATCACTGTAGAGGTTCTGCAGGCTGCAGCTTGTGTTTAGCTTTCTTTTGTCAGATTTGAAGGGGGGGCAGAAAATTAGTAAAACAGCTATGTTTTCTGCAAGTGTTCATATTCTGCACCTCATTAGTCTCTTTGCCCCCCACCCAACCGTAGCATGTGTCTTTAAAAGATATCCCAAGCTATGTTTGACCTCAAACAGATATCTAGACTGGGGCTGGTAGTAGCTGTAGTTGCTCTTGTTGTTGCTGTTGTTTTTACACAGCAGCAACAGCAACAACAATGCTCTATGACCATCATTTCACAGTCGTGCTCTCAAACATAACATTGCAGTTGTAATACTGCCAGACTGAAGTTATATCTGTCTGTGTGTGTTTGCTAAGAAGCAGCTCTAGTTCTCTGCAGAGCTGCACATGTGAAAAAGGAGAGCAAAGAATCCAGCGCACATCCAATTTCCTCCTCCTCCTTGCAAGTAGCATGCTTGTTTCCCTCATGCCACTTGTGCAGGCGGCCCTGTGGACACGGTCAATAAGGAGCTGCTGGTGTCCTCTTCCATCCCCTCTGGCCTAATGACAACCTCTGGCAGCGAGCCAGGACTTTGCACAGAGGACACGGAGCACATTGGAGGAGTTGGCGAAGCTTCTTCTCTGGTCTGCTTTGGAAACTGCCAGGCAATTGTGGATCTGGCTTTAAGAAGAAATAAGGACCACTCTCACTCCTCCTATGCTCCCTCTCCCTCCCTCCCCTTTTCTTTCTTTCCCTCCTGACAATCCCTCCCTTTCTCAGTGGTGCAAAGGATTTCTTTTTTTTTTCCAGAAAGCAGTGTCTCTGAGGAAGAGGGAGCGAAAGCGAGAGAGGGACAGGCTGCTTCCAGGATTCTGCTCGAGCCAAGATGGGAATGTAGTCTGTGGTATTTCATAGCGCAGCTTCTCAGACGAAACTAGAAGCATAGAATATTTGCTACGAAAGAAGAATAAAGAAGAGAATTGTACATCTCCCCACCTCCTGGGATCGCACAGGAAATTGTGAGGTTGTCTTTTCACTTAGTCAGTGCTGCACATTATTTTGATATTTCTCCTTAGCCTCATCCCCCTCTCTCCCTCCCTTCTTTTAACTTCCAACTCCCATCTTTATTTCCACCCATCCCACACCCTTCTCTGGGCTAGAGGGTTTTGCTTTGACTGTGGGGTTTGCGCTGGAGAAAACTATTGAGGAGGGGCTGAAGTATCTCTTCTCTGCTGGAAGTGGTAGACGACGATTTGTGCTGGTTACTTGAGCTTTTAACTGGGAATTTTTGAATTCCCTTCTTTGGATTGTCTGTCTGGACAAAAGAAGATTTTTCTCCTTTGGGGAAGTCAGTCAGAGAATAAGAGAGAGACCGTTTCCATGATGAGCTGGGGTGGATTGCAGATGGAACGGGGTTATATTTTTGGATTCTGTTGCCTAGTTCTTTTGGATCCAGGACAGGTTTGGACTGGGAATCCCAGTACCCAGAAACCTGAGCCAGAAGCGCAAATTGAAGTCAACAGCAATACCAGCTTTGGCCCCACTTTGGAGGACACTGCTGTGGCCACCACTGAGGCCATACTTGGGGGCGATCGGTGCCTTGGTTATTACGATGTCATGGGTCAGTGGGACCCACCCTTTAACTGCAATTCTGGGATCTACAAGTTTTGTTGCGGGACTTGTGGTTATCGCTTTTGTTGCCAGTTCACAACTGGGCGACTGGACCAAAGTGGCTGTACCAATTATGACAGGCCAGAATGGATCAACACAGGCCAACCACCACCTCAGGTGGACGAGACCCCCGAGAACCCCACACGGGACAAGACCAACATGATTGTATACATCATCTGTGGTGTGGTGGCCATCATGGTGCTGGTAGGCATCTTTACAAAGTTGGGACTGGAGAAATCACAGAGCCCTCAGGCAGAGATGACCATGTCCAGGTAAGACCCCCCCCCAAAAAAAACAACAACCCATATCTCTGTCTTTTATCCCTTCTGTGTCTCCTTTTGACTTTTTCTTTGCAGTGAATTTTGATAAACAACATGTCCAACTGCCTCCTGTAGCTCTGTCACCTCCTTTGAGGCTGACACTGAGGTCTACAAAGTCAACCAACATCTTTTCCTCTTCTCATCTCCTCACTCTGCCCCACACATACAACCTTCTTTGTCTTTAGGTCTAAGTCCTCAGAAGACAAAGAGAGGGAATGATATGGCTCTGGTGAATCATAAAGGAATTGTGCAAATGGGTGGGAATGAGAAGTTCAAGTAGGTGAAGCTTAGCAAAGAATGTTTCTTGAGAGTGGGAACTGTTAATTTTACTTAAGAGGCTGAAACCTAAGAGGCTAATTTCAAAAGAAAATGTAAGTTGTTATAAAATGTGGAGAGTGGGAGGGAGGGAGAGAGATATACTGTGAAGAGAATAATAAGGGTGTTAAGATTAGCCCGGGCAGGCAGGTGCACTTCATGCTTGGCTGAAGCAAGGCTGAAAGTAAGGTTGGTGATATCTTCATGTGTTGAGAGAGAGAGAGAGAGAGAGAGAGAGAGAGAGAAAGAAAGAAAGAAAGAAAGAAAGAAAGAAAGAAAGAAAGAAAGAAAGAAAGAAAGGGCATAATGGACCTCAGTACCTCAGAATATATTATTTCTTTCCCCCAGCGACCCTGTTTTTTAAAGCAAGGCTGTGGAACTTTGTGGAACTTTATATGCAGTTTTCTGTTTGTGTTTGTGCGTGCGTTTGAGGAGGGGGTGATGCACACTGGTGCCTAGCAAGCAGACACATGCTTGCAGCTGCCTCTTGCACCCCTTGCCAGCACAGTGCAGAGGGATTAAAAGGCAAGTGGCGCGCAACACTGTAAAAAGCTAGGATATTCAAAAGCGACCTCTCTCCAACTTTGCTACTGCTCAAGGAAAAGCAGCCCGGAATGCCGCTGCGGTATGTGCGATGAAAACAAGTTCAAAGCCATGCGGGGCGGGGGGGGGTCGGTGGAGATTGGAAGCAGGTATTGGCGGTGAAGCGTCTCCTGCTGGGACCAACCCTTTGCCTCCTCTCACTTTGCAGCTGCCATCTCTAAAGCAAAGCAACTGAACTCGGCAATTAATTGTAGGTTGTCTGGTGGCGTTTCCTATCTGCATCTCTTGCGCGCGCGCACAAGCATTCTCCCATCGTGTGCATTCCATTGTTTTGCTCTCCTTCGCTTCTTTCTCTCGTTGAGCTTCCCTTCCTCCGGGTTCATTCTCTCCCTGTGTTACAAGCCCAGTTGTGAACTGTCCTCTTTTCCCTTCCCCTCAACTTCTGTGCCTCCCCGCTCCCTTGATTTCCCTGTCAGCCCTTTCTGCCAGGGGCCTCTCTCTCTCTCTCCCGCCCACCCGTCCCCCAGAAGCAATAGGGGAAGAAGGATGAAGTCTCTTGTCAGAGGCGAAGTTGTTCCTCCCAAGGCTATGTAGCACTTGTAGGTCACGAGTCATGGCTCCTACAACACACATAGCAACATGCGCGGTCGTTTTGTCAGTTGTTGTGGGAAGGGAATGTGGGGGCTCAGGGATGATGACATACAGCGTGGAAGAGCCGGGGAGGGGAGGAAGGGGGCAGGCAAGCAGTGCCACGCTGGGTGCCAGCTCTTTGTAATGCTAGCGCTTGATCTGCTTCTGTGCCAGGACTGCAATCTTTTTACCTGATGTGTAGCAACAGCAAAGAAGATGGGCAGCCAAGGGGGCTATCTGCCCAGTCAGCGACTCTCCGCTTGTGCTTGGGATCGAGGGAGGTGTCGAGGCAACGGTGTGCCCCTTCTCATGGGCATAATAAGCATCCCGGGCAAATGGCCCTGGAGCATCTCTCTCAGCCCAAATCCACTGATCAGCTGCTCCTCTGACTCCCACTGGGCAGCAAGGAAGGCAAAGTCCAAGGCTGAGCACCGCACCAGAATCAAGGATCTGATGAAGGTCTCCACCTCTGTGTATGGGAGGCTGCCAGGGATGAATGCCCATCCAGTGTAGTGCCACAGAAACGGTCTCAGTTCAGGGGCACCCAACAGCCTGCATGAGGCACGATCACAAAAGTAGCCAAATGGACTTTTCTAATTGCCATGCTGTGAACTATTTCCAGGCAGCTTTGTGACTCTGGTGGCAAGATCCCCCACCTGCTGTAGCCCATGGAGAGGATCAAGTTCTAGAATGACGGAGTCAAGGATCCAGGAAGCTGAACTTTGGGTTTCATGCCAGATTTGCAGAGCAGGGTGGGGATACCAAATTCTATCACACAAATGTCATTTCCCCAGGCTTCTCTTTGTTTCTGGCAGTGCAAAATATTGAAGTGTTTCTAATGACACCAGAAGTATGTAAACAACCTAACAGGGCCGACGGAATCAGACCCAAGTCTATCTGTTCTGTTTCCAGCAGTGGACAGCCAGACATTTCTGGGAAGCTGACAAGCAACTCCCCAAGGCAATGGCCTGCCCCATTCTGTCCCTAGATTTTAGTATTGCCTCTGACCATGGAGGTTCCACCATACAATGTCTAACAGCCATAGAGAGATCGTTCCCTCCCTATTAACGTAGGGGTGTCCACATCCTCCTTATCTTTTCCATCACATATCATGTTTGAAACCATGGATGCCTTAACTTGCTATAACTTCAGCAAGACTGAAATTTGGTAATGCCGTCCCAAAGTTCAAGTGTTTCATAGGATGGTTATGTGACACATTTTATAGATCTAAAAAGAAGAAATGGGGGAGAAATTAAATTCTTCCCTGTTCTAACAATTTGACCCCTTAGCTAAATATGGTTGTATGTGTGCATGAACACATCCAAATACTTTATGCCCACTTTAAATCATCCCATCAATGCTCTTCTCTATGACAGCGCAGTGACGTGCTTCCAAGTGGCATCATATACATGGCCGATCAGGCACAGCTGTGTTATTATGCCTGTCAACTGCAATGCCAGCATAATGGCTTGCTTCAATAGGGTCTGGGGTTTTGCTAGCAGTGGTTGGTTCTGTGATGGCCAAAGTGCCTTTATGGTTGTAAGTGTGTTGTCTCCCCGATTCACCTCCCTCTGACCACTGCCATGCTCCTCTCCTATTGCTGCGCAACAGCTTTGAAACTCACCAACATACCACATCTGGTAATGACGCACATTACTGGCACAATAGCACAAACCCATCTGCTACATGAATAAGCAGCTTTGGGAAATGTGGTTAATAAAGCAGTCCTAAGCAAATAAAAGAAAATAAAATTTCATTAAGAAAATAAAATAAAAACAGGATCTGCAATGCAGGGTACAACTGCAGCATCCTTGTGAATTTGGCTGTTCGGCCTCTGCTTAAACATCTTCTGCCCACCACCTCCCAAGGCATTCTGTTCCACTGTCCTCCCCGCAAGGAAGTGTCTTCTAGCGTTTAGCCAAAATCTGCTTCCCTGCAAATTTACACCTATTTTTTCTAGCCTTCCTCTTGCGAGCAACAAATGATTGTTTGGGAGCAAGGGAGAATAGAACTAAAATAGGGCTCATCCAGACTTCCCTTTGCCCCACCACTTTCCCTCAGAGGGAAACCTGATCTTTAGCAATTGAGTTTTCTCCAGATTGGTGTTTGCTAAAGAGAGGGTTTTCCATTGGAAAGGAGTAGAGCAAGGGGAAAGCTGCTTGTCCCTGTGCCTAGAAATCATGGGTCAAGGGGGAAACCGCAGAGACCAAGGCTTTCTAAGCATGGGGCAAGCAGAAGTGTGGATGAGCCTGTAGTGTTAAACTAGACGGGCCACAATGCAAACTTCTAGCATATACAGCAGACCACCAAAAGCAACTGGTTTTTCATTTTCTTAGGACAAAACAAACACAGTGAATTACAATTTACTAGTCCAGCTCCGTTTGGCTCTATAAGTTTTTGCGGCGGTGGGCCAATATAGTTATTGCAAACAGGCCTTGACTTCAATAGTTTAAATTAGCATGTGTAACTTAATGTTAAATTATAGCTAAAGTCAATTTAGTTCTGCTTTGGATGAACAGCCAAACTTGGGAATTAAGAAGAAAACAGAAATCTTTCTATGCTTGGCAAAATTATTGCATCTTGAGGCAATTGTTCCGCTGTGCCCTTGATAGCAAATAAAAAGCATTGATTTTGGATATTGTTCCTCTATTTTGAATGCAGGTAAATATGACTGAAAATTGGGATCTTTGCTGAGCAGCCACTGCTGTGCAAATTTCTGTTTGTTCGGCTGACAAGAGGAACTTTAGATTAAAGGGGTCAGCCAACCTGTGCCCAAGAAGCAATTGCTTTGCTCAAACGTCTCTTGTGCTTTTCCTCTTTTTAGCTGCACCTCCTTCTCTGCCCCATGACTAGAACCAGGCTGATCTTCTCCTGACCATAATGTTCTTCCTGGCTGCTTTGGGATGCAACTCATCGTGTCCCTCACTTTTATTAACATGATACTTACTGTATTTTTATTTTAAGATTCTTGTAAGCCAATGTATTTGCAGGGTGGGTTATAAATCTAAGTCATACGTAAATGCATGCATAAGTTCATCAATCACTAATGAGGCAGGTGACCCTGCAACTCACTCTGGAGTAAGGGAAACAGAACAAGGGATGTTTAAATGGGCACTTGTCCTCTAGCCCAAAGGAAACTATGGATGCTCCCATCAAGCTGCTTCTGGAATCTACAGAGGTCATTGCAGGAACTGTGAACTGGAACAAAATGTGTTGCCAAAACTAGGGAAGTCATAATCAGAAGAGGAAGAGACAGATTTTGGTATCTATAGAGACAGATGCTAGGGATGAAGTCTGCCTAGAGGCCAGGTGTGCTGGCAGAGGTGGCAGGAGAAAAGAGCACAGAAATAGCACCATCACAGTCAACACAGGTGTCACTGTTTCATCTTGCTTAAGTTAATGCTCTTGTTTTCCTATTTCATCAAGTCAAATGTGTGCACGGCAATATTTCCTGGAGCAAGGTG